CAGGGAGTTGGGATGCAGGAGGGGTGTGGGATGTGGCAGGGGGTTCAGGGCAGGGGGTTGGGGTGTGGGATGGGGCAAAGGGTTGGGGTGCAGGAGGGGTGTGGGATATGGCACGGGGCTCAGGGCAGGGAGTTGGGGTGTGGGATGTGGTTGGGGTGTGGGATGTGGTGGGGGGCTCAGGGCAGGGAGTTGGGGTGCAGGGTGCGGGCTCCAGCCCGGTGTCGCTTACCTAGACCGGCTTTGGCTTCAACCCTGGGTGGTGGGGCTCAGGCTTCAGCTTCGGACCCAGGTGGTGGAGCTCGGGCTTTGGCTTCTGCCCCAGGCCCCAGCAAGTCCAAAGCCAGACTTGGTAACCCCATTACAATGGGGTCACGACCAGTATTCCTCTACGTTTTTACATCCATGTGTGGAATGAATTTTGTTATGTGCACCAATACGGAGGTGATGTGTGACACATCACCTTCATATTAGTGCACATAACAAAATTCATGTGGCGGGGTGGGGCCGAGGGGTTTGGGGTGCAGGAGGGGGCTCAGGCCTGGGGCAGAGGGTTGGGTGCAGGGGATGAGGGCTCTGGCTAGGGGTAAAAGCTCTGGGGTGGGGCCAGGGATGAGGGGTTTGGGGTGCAGGAGGGGGCTTAGGCTGGGGCAGAGGATTGGGGTGTGGTGGGTGTGGGCTCTGGGGTGGGGCTGGGGCTGAGGGGTTTGGGGGTGCAGGCTGCCCCAGGGCTGTGGTAGGGAGAGAGGACTCCCCGCAGCCCTCTCTTGCAGCAGCAGCTCTGGGCAGTGGGAGAGGTGCTTCTCACCGGATGCAGCAGCTCCGGCGGGCCTGGGCCAAGTTGAGGGAGGGGCTCCTCTCCCTTGGCCATGGAAAGTCCAGGGCAGGTCTGTGTTGGGGCCGGGGGAGGGGCGCCTCTGCCCTGGCCACGGCAGGTCCACGCTGGGGCTGGTGGGGAGGGGCGCCTCTCCCCGCCCCGGCAAGTCCATGCTGAGGGAGAGGCATCTCTCCCCACCGCAACCCTGAGCCCCTGCGTGGGGCTTAATAGGCAGCTGCACGGCCATGCAGCTTGGAGGGAACTTAGGTCATGAACCACTTTGGGGTCCCGACCCACAGTTTGAGAACCACTGCTCTTGGGCTATTCTGTGCTTGATGAATGAGTAAACTCCCATCAATTATGGCAGGAAAGATGTCTGTACATCAAATACACTCCCATAGTGAGGGATTCTTACATTGTTTTTTATTGTCTCTGTTAACATTTATTATTTGCAAATTGTACTTTGCAAATTGTACACCAGTGGCTTACAAGAAACGATCTCCGTGTACTAGCTGTAACATTTACTTCTCCCTGTCCACGGAGAGGATAAAAGGCTCTCCATGGACCCATTTGTTATGATTGTTGTATGTGTGTGAAGATTTACATTAGAAATAATTCCATTGATAAATACCATATTCAGTTTCTGTATATGAGATATCTGATAACAGCTCAGCTGTAAACCAGTGGAGCAAATTCTAACATGATGCAAGTTAATGTAAAGGAGTCTAATTTAGACTCAGACTCCCTCAGATCACAAAGGAGTGTAAACTGGTGTAATTTACACATCTAGGAGCCTGTAGATGTTGGTTTACTTTAACTAACACATTTATATACCCTCCCGTGAGTTGTTTTTCTTGCTACACTCCTGCCTCCTGGCATCTCTTCATGTGAATTATACCATTTTAGATTCCCTTACACTCAGTCTCAGTGGGCTTGATCCTCTACTGCCTTGCACCTCCTGTCTGTAGTGTAGTTGTAGCCGTGTTGGTCCCAGGATATTAGAGAGACAAGGTAGGTGAGGTAATATCTTTTATTGGACCAATTTCTGATGTTGAGACAGACAAGCTTTTGAGCTACAGTAGAACCTCAGAGTTATGAACATCAGAGTTACAAACTGACCAGTCAACCACACACCTCATTTGGAACCGCAATCAAGCAGCAGCAAAGACAAAAAAAAAAAAAAAAGCAATACTGGATAGTACTGTGTTAAACTACTAAAAAAATAAAGGGGAAAGTTTAAAAAAAAGATTTGACTAGGTCAGGAAACTGTTTCTGTGCTTGTTTCATTTAAATTAAGATGGTTAAAAGCAGCATTTTTCTTCTGCATAGTAAAGTTTCAAAGCTGTATTAAGTCAATGTTCAGTTGTAAACTTTTGAAAGAACAACCATAATGTTTTGTTCAGTTACGAACAACCTCCATTTCCGAGGTGTTTGTAATTCTGAGGTTCTATGGTACATAAAGAAAAAGAGCTCTGTGTAGTTTGAAAGCTTGTCTCTCTCACCAACAGAAGTTGGTCCCATAGAAGACATTATCTCACCCACCTTACACTTTCTGTAGTTATTTCCATCTACGCAAAGTAAGTGTAAAATGCTACCATTCTGAGCTGGTAAAATTGACGCCCACTTTGCACAAATTTAAATGACTACCCAAGGTGCAAGGCAGTGGAGAATCACGTTCAGTGGGTCAAATTCAGAATTGATGTGTTAGGCAGGGTATGAGTTACCTGTTGGTAAATGGGAGAGAGTCTAAAGGAGTCTAAAAAAAGTCTGTAGTCCCAGTCCTGGAACTTGTTCCATAAGGGCAGATCCTAGGGGCCATACAGAGCCCCAGTAACTGTGGGGCTCCACATGGATGCAGAGTTTTGTCTGTGCGGAACAAGTTGTGGGATTGGATCCTAAATTTAGGAAACATGAACACAGACCCAGACAGAGGTATGGATTATGCCATCTTTAGACTCAAATCTGAATTAGTCCCAAAATAGTTATTGTAAGAGTAGAGTATGAGGGCAAGATTGTCACTCTCTGTGCCAGTGCAAGGATATAAGGAGGCACAAGGTGCCCCTTACTTCCCTGTGTGGCCTACCTGTATTGCAGATGAGAGAACGGGGGTGGGGCAGAGAGCAGCGTCCAGGAGGCTGAGTCACAATAACATCCCTGCTGTACTTCTGGAGCAATGCAACTATACGCTGCCCCTTACTCAGGCCAGATTGTCATCAGTTCTCAATCTCGCCATTACTGACTAGCAGTTACTGAAATGAAAACATTCTAACTAGTTGTAACACTTTGAATAAGAAAATGTTTACTCTAAGCTTTATAAAAATCACAAATACATCTAAGCATTTTCTTCATAATATGCCTTTTATATATGGGAAAGTGATTTAAAGTTGAAATAGTGCAATTTAAAAACAGTAGTGCAGGAAGCAAACAATAAAAAACAAAATAGAAGTTGTAGATTGCATTATATTGTTTTCAGTACAAGTAAATTAACTCAGCAACCTTCTACACGAAAGAGACCTAGGGCAAAATTTTCACAAGCACTTAAGTGACTTAGGGCATGTCTACACTGCAATAAAAAATCCACGGAACTTAGTCTCAGAGCCTGGTTCAGCAGACTCAGACTCGCAGGACTTGGGCTTCAGGGCTAAAAATTGCAATGTAGATGTTTGGGCTTGGGCTAGAGCCTGGGCTCTGAGACCCTCCTCTCTTGCATGGTCTCAGAGCCCAGGCTACAAACTGAGCCTGAACATCTACACTGCAATTTTATAGCCCTGCAGCCCAAGTCCCGTGAGCACGAGGTCAGCTAATCTGGGCCAATGGGTCTTTTATTGCAGTGCAGATGTATTCCTAGGTGCTTTTGAAAAATCCCATAATCACCTGAAGACTGGCATGGGAACTAGTCATGAAGTCAGGGGACAGTACAGTGACCAGTTAAAGAGACATCATCAAATAAAAAAAAATTGTCTGATTTTCTTTCCTATTAATGTTACAAGTAACGCAATTTTTGTAAGTGTATGAATTTAGCACTTTGTGTGTCACTATCTCTCCTGCATAATGGATAATTAGTCAAATTTTCCTGTTTTTTATGTGGATCTTTCAAAGAGCAACAGGGGAGAGATTAATATTTTTAATATAGGAAATGGGATTGGTAAAACATAAAAATTGTCAGGGTAACTAAGGAAGAGGTATAGTAGCTGAAAATAATTGTAGCTCGTTTTTGTAAGGTGACTGGATTTTGAGTTAACAGATTTGTAGATTCCGAGACCAGACTGGACCATTGTGATCATCTAGTCTGACCTCCTGTATAACACAGGTCATAGAATGTCCCCTAAATAATTCCTAGAGCATTCCTGTTAGAAAAACATCCCAACTTGACTTAAAATTGCCAATGATGGAGAATCCACCACAACCCTTTGAAAGTTGTTCCAATGGTCAATTACTCTCCCTGTTAAAAAATTTGCGCCTTATTTTCAGTCTGTATTAGTCTACCTTCGACTTCTAGCCATTGGATCATGTTATACCTTTGTCTGTTAGACTGAAGAATCCATTATTAAATATGTGTTCCCTGTATAGATACTTATAGACTGTGATCAGATCACCCTTTAACCTTCTATTCATCAAGCTAAATAGATTGAGGTCCCTGAGTCTATCACTATAATGGTCTTCCTATAAATTAAGCAATTGTGATTTGAGAAGCCCTTGCCTGAAGGTGATTAAATTAATGTGGGGAGAAGGCAATAGCTGATCCCTTTTACTGGAGAAACTAAACATAAAAATATAGACCTTATATTCACAGGTTGAAAGGCTGGTCTCAGTGAAGTCAATAGGAGTTTTGCCATTGACTTCACATTGGGGCCAGGATTTCACCCACCTCATGCCATGAACAATAGAATAAAGGGAAGAGGAAGATATAGTTATACGTTAATAATGCAGTCAGATATACAACAGATAAGAGGGGAAGCTTGAAAAAGTTAAACTGGTACACCTATAGGAAGTCTGAATTAGCACTTTGCCATGATATCTGTGGTTTATCTTCACTCCATTTCCAAAGATCACTAAAAAGAGTAATATTTCTTAAAATCTTTTCTCTTTGGTTTTTAATTGTAGTTACTCATGTAGTCCAACAGGAAGATAATCTACAACTTCTTCTTGTTTTTCAATATCATAAATATTCCAGATGCTACAAAATCTATTGTAAAAATGTACATTCCGTTGTTTTATGAGGCACAGGACCTGGTAATGCATTTTCAGGGAAGATCATCTCTATTCCATCCTGCCCATTATCAGACAATGGTGGAGAATCCAAGGGTTCACGCTTGATTGTGTGAACCAAGCAGGGATTTTTAAACTCACAGTGCATCTTAAAAATCTGGTTATTCTGCTCTTTCTCTTCTACTGAATTGGGGTCATAGAACTGATTGTAGAAGTCTGTACGCTGAAAGTCATGGATGCTTTCCAAACATGCAGAGTTCTGGGGGCAAACCTGTGTCATCTCTTTGTTATGTAACCCTTTACATGGTCTGTTTATATTCATATTGTTGGTATGATTTGTTACAATGCATTGCCAATTGTGTGGTGTGTAAGCACAGTGCTTTGGTTTTTGACAAGGAGACAGTTGCTCACTGAGGTCTGATTCTGTTTTAAGGTGCACCATGTTAGGGTAGCCAATCAGCTGCTTTTTCACCATACCATTCTCATCCAGCCAGACTCGACTTTGTGACATCATGTAGCTATCAGCTACATTTTCAGAATCAGAATCATATTCAGTTTTGATGGGCATATCTAGAGGAAATACTGTGTCGCATAGAGTTTCTGGGTACATCAGTGGACGTTGTAATTTCACAGGATCTGTAGTGTAGTTCTCCACTGTAAATTGCTGTAAGCCTGAATAAGACTGGCAATTTTCTGTAGTACCCCAGTGGGAAGGGCAGGTTGATGCTAAATTTAAAAGACTTTGATCTCTGTTACAGAACGGTCCAACTTTTCTGCTCGGACATGTATTCATGCGTTGATTTACAGAACAAGAACTTGATGAATTTTTTAAAGTCCAAATGTTGTTTGTGTTGCAGTTGTTTTGGGTACCTAAAAGTAATGTGTTAGAATTGAGAGAGTCCTCTTGCATGAAACACTTGTCATTTGTATTAGGTTCAAACTTCACTTTTATGCTATCCTGTTCATTTTTTACAGCTGTCCAGTTAAGATGCTTCATCTGTCCCAAAGTTTCAATGGCACAGTTATAGTTAAGTGCTTCCTTGTGTCCTTTCAAACTTGTGATGTTCTTTGGTACCTTCAGTTGCACATCTTCTTCCCTTTCAATAAAGTTAGAAAAAGTCAGTCAGTCAGTCAAATGTTTCTAAAATATTTTTCCCGTACTGTGTGTTACCCATGTAGAATATAGAATGGAGTGCTATGATAGAGGTTTCATTCATATTTGTTTGGGGTGATTTGGATAATTCATCTCTCATGAGTAATGCAGGAATCTCATACCCATACCAAATAATCTTATAATGTATTCCATATTTATACTATGCACACACACAGTGCAAGGTCATCTCATTTAAACTACTGTATGCATGTTTAATTCCATTCCACTTTTGGTGTACATTTTACCATTATCTTAAATAAAATAGTAACAAGTTGTACTTTTATTATCTTTTTTATTAAAAAAATCACCCTAATGTTCTGGGCAGAAAAATGGTTTCAATATACAGAATGGTTTATTCAACATAGTATACCAGTATACAGAATGGTTTCTATAGTGTGGAATAAAACAGAGTTCACAGTAGTTTAAATGAAATAGTACTACATAGTTAGGAACTTTTTGATTTAAGTGGTTTGAGTGAGAGCTGCAGAGGTGTGTTTTTTCAGAACAGTTTGTTGTAGGAGATGAAAGAAGTGCTCAGAGGAAGTGTCCAGACTAATATTCCCAAGCATTCACTAATTTGGGTATTTCCATTTTCATGTGTCCAGCTTGAGACATCTTGTGCTTGATTTTCTGAGGCGCTGTGATCCCTTAGTTCTTATTAGCTACACCTGAAGCACACAAAATTATGAAAAAATTGGCCTTAGGTTTTGGATAATAGGTATAGTAATCATTGGGACTTAGATTAATCAGAGAGGAAAGATGTGAGACACTGAATCCAAGTTATTTAAGGTACAGAGCCAAACTGGTTTAGGGAAAAATGGTATCAGAATTAGAAACTCAAAATGGAAGAGAGAGAAAACGGATGGGGATTTCAGAAGTTAGTTACTTAGCTCAACACTTGTATTTTTTTGTTTGAGAGAATGGGTTCAGCATGTAAGTACAAGAATCCCCAGTAGGGGGAGTCCATGCTGTTATAATGTGGGAACTGTCACATTACAACAAACATAGATTAAGGAGGGAGAGAGAAGTTGTAAGTATGTACTTATAATATTAATGGGCTTCAACCCCCTGCTAAATATTAAAATTTTAAATTCTTAAAACACAACTAACATGTTACTTTCTTGCAGAAATAACATCTCAGGAAGAAAGACAAGTATGATGCAGCAACAGCAGCTTTTAGAAATCAGTGAAAATTGGGGGGAAAAAACCTAACATCCAATGTAAAAAGTAAAGCAGAAGATGGGACTGTTATGAAATAAAGCATGAAGACAAGCATTATACTAAAGTATTTGTATATAAGTAGGAGGAGAATGGGGGAAAGGATTTTATGGCAAACAAATTTACATTTCCAGCAAGCTACTGCACACTTTAAAAAGGCTGACTGTGGGGCAAGGATGCAAGTGGTGATGAACAAAATACAAAAACAACAGTGAGTATCTGCTACAGCCCACCTGGTCTAGCTAGGGGACAATAAGAATGGAACTTCAGTGCTCAGGGTACTCCATGCCACATGATTACCATGCTCAATAGAGGTATTTAACTATCCACTGGGTAACAAAGGCATCCAAATATGAATCAAAGAGGTTCCTAAATTACACAGAAAACAAACACAAAAATAGAGACTTGAACAAGAAGAGAAGCCATCTTGGGTCTGCTTCTTAATGGTCCAATTCATTCCCTGGACTGGAGTAACAGAAGGCAGGAGATTGTGGGAGAGGGATTCCCTGGGGAGAGATGGGGTTTCTCTCTTCATAGGCAAGATTATGGGATCCACCGTCTACAGCTGAAAGATGTCTAGAAATTCTTCTGGGGCATATGCAGGAAGCAAGAGCTATCTGTATAGAGGCCCACTGCCTCCTCTCCTGCTTCCCAGCCCTGGGACAGCCAAAGCGGGGAAAGATACAGCTCATATTGTTATAAGTGGGGTTAAATCTTGTTACGGGTTGTATTAAAACCTCATCGGAATTGATGTGTGAACATACCTTCACTTAAGATAGTTGTGGGACAGTTAAGGGGCCACATCCAAAAGAAGGGCTAATAGAGCCCACCCAGGAGTTTTGGATTGCGTAGGCAGAGTGGCTTTTTGTTGAGTATTGTTTTTTGTGTGTGCACACGCATACGTGTACACATGGGAAGAGAGAACATATAGAAACTAGGGACAGATAAAAACACAGAGAAAGGCAGAGGCAAAAAACAACAAAGCCAACCAATAGCTGAGGAGCACAGTGTGACCCTGGAGAAAGTTAGAGAGTTTTTGAGTCTATTGGCTAAAGAGGCTTGAGGTTCCGAGATAAGAAACTGCTCCTTTTGTTCTTGGTTCCTCCTGCATTTGGAGAAGCAGAATTTTGTACATTGTTTGTAAATAAACAAGATTGCATCAAAGAAACTACCAGACTGCATCAAGTTGTGCTTCCAGCTGGAAAATCCCCAAGGCCCTAAACTTTGACTAGCTGCACAGGTTGGAAATGAGTAACACTGATGTGAGGAGTGAGAGCCAGTTTCCAAGGAGTGAGACTATGAGCTGGTGTTCCTGCTGAACCAAGATAGAACAAATAATGGAGGTGCTTGTAGAGATCAAAAAAGGTCATCAGGAATTATAACAGGACTAAAATGATTTAAAACAAGACCTGAAACAGGAGCTGGAGGCTTCACAACAGGGATTAAAGCAGCATCTGGAGGTTTACCAGAAAGAGCCCAAAGATGACTTGCAGGCAGAGGTGAAAACTCTGTTGGAGCAACAACTACAAAGCATTTGGACAGATTGGGAATTCCAGCTGCAAAACTCCCAGTCTGGAATGGTAAAATGGATTGGTGAGGTGACAGCAATCTAACTGACATAGACCAGAAGTTTTTCCATAAAACAATGAAGACCAAGCAAGCTATAGCTAATCCCGAACTTGCTAATTGAGATGAGCTGGATCAAGGATTTATGGATTTAAAAAAAATCAGCTCTAGAAGGAAATCAAAGGGTCACTGACCACAGTGGAAAGCAGCCACATGGATGAGGAATTAGGCCAGCTGGAGGAATTGGGTAAGACCAGACATTTTCAACTGTTTTCTACCCTGTTGGTAACCCACAGGGCCCAAAGGGGAGAGGCTAGGGGGTTGTCCCAGCTCAAATAATGCAAAAACTCAGTATCTTTGAGGGCAAAATTCTGGGAGACTTATTTGGCTCAATTCAACATTATAGCCCAAATTAATGACTGGGCGGAGGGACAGGAAAGCTGGGCCCACAGAACCCGTACCATAGCAATTCAATGGGAGTCACTAGCAATTCTGGGGTTTCATGGACCCATGCTGCTTTCTGTTCATGTTGCATCCCCAGATGTACACCTCTGACCCAGCCAACAGGGTCTTGGTAATCTGCCTGCTGATGGGGGGAGCTGTTGTACTGGGCCTCCCCCTTGCTGGAGAGTAACAGCAGTTTTGTCAAATTGGAATGCCTTCCTCCAATCTATATGAGCGATCTTCAATGACCCGCCTTGTGCCCATTTGGCCAAGGCTGCTCTAAGGAAATTCTGGCAGTGGCAAGGTAACTCTTGCTTACTATGTGGCCCATTTCCATCATCTCATTGTTACCATGGAGTGGAACAAGGCAGTGCAGCAGTACCAATTCTGGTGGGGTCGGCAGGAGGAAATCAAAGATGAACTGGCCCACATGGATATGACCATGGGTCTGGACACCTTCATTGACCTTGCCGGCCACATAGATATTCAGTTATAGGAATGAAGGGAGGAAAATGAGGGTCCCTGCAGCCCCCATCCACGTACTATTAACTGCTGAACCAGTGCAGGTGGATCTGGCTCGTTGACAGCTCACCCTCAAAGAAAAGGAGCAATTCTCTTGGCACCACCTATGCTTCTATTGTGGCAAACCTTCTGCCTGTCCTGTGCAAGCCCCAAGGAACCCAAGAAATGAGTCACTTCAGGGTCAGTAAGAAGGACTGCCCTGGGCTGTGTGAAAAAAGAATTACCCTGCACCTCAGTCCTGCCTGGGGCATGCACCCAGCTCCATCCAGGGGCTTCCCACTTGCAGTTGCCTATCTGGCTGCGCATCCCTGGAGATCCCCAATGGATTCCCATCTAATGAACCATCATCGATTCAGAAGCAGATGACAATTTCATAGTTGCAGCGACAACGCAGGCCCTGCAGATTCCTTTGTGACACAAAGCCACTCTGGACCTATGGAAAATATTGATGGCTGATGGCTCCCATCTGTCTTCAGGTCTAATGATTGAAAATACAGTCCACCTGGAAGCCATTATCCAGGGGCACTGAGAAATATTTTGATTCAACATCATTCAATCCCTGCACTTCCCTCTGATTCTTGGCTTCTCTTGGCGGACTCTTCATAATCACCTCATTCATTGGTAAGAACAGGAGGGCAGTTTCCCTTCAAAATTCTGTCAGCAGTATTTTCAGGAGCAAATCAACATTGCCCCAGCACTTGGGGGCTTCAGGCAGAGATGATCACCAAAGTAGGGATGCCCACCAAACCTACTTCAGAACTCCATCTTAAATATCATGACTATGCCAAAGTGTTTGAAAAGAAGCTCACAGAAACCCTCCCTCTACATCAGGACTGTGACTGCCCCACAGAATTGCAGCTGGGAGCGTAAATACTATTCGGGTGGATTTATGCCATGTCAGAACCTGAGCTAGCTGCGCTAAGTAAATATCTCCAGGAGAACCTGGCCAGAGAGTCATCCTCAAGTCAACCTCACCAGCTGGTGCACTGGTCCTCTTCATCGAGGGAAAAAATGGCAGTTTCCAACTCTAGCTTGACAACTGAGCCTTAAACCAGATAATGATCAGGAACCGGTATCCACTACCCCTGATTCCAGAATTACTGGACTGTGTAGGGGCCACATGTCAACAAACTGGACCTCTGGTGAGCCTTGAACTTCATATGCATCTGGGCTGGGAACAAATGGAAGACTGCC